CTCCATCCTTTTTGGGGACGAGGAAGTAACGGCTGTAGAAGCCTGACTCGTTCTGAGCTGAACTGTCTCTACAGCTCCTTTGGCCAGTAAATTCATCACCTCGAAGTGTAGGACATGAGCGTTCTTGCTCTGCACTAAGGTGGGAGCCACGCCACTGAATCGCGGGGGTCTTCGAGCAAACTGAAGCGAATAACCTCATTTTATAATCCCCAAAACCCAGTCTTACACTCTAAGGAATGGCCTGCCAGGCCTCGGCCTATGTGGAGAGGGGTTGGATTGGTTTGGGTGGTGGGTCGCCGTGAGGGCACTTGACACTCGTGATAAGTGGAAGAGGAAATTTGCTCTATTTTTGAAAATGTTTGTGTTTTATTTTTTCCACTACTGCAGCGGCTGTTTGTGTGGGCACTTTTAAAATGGGCCCAGTATTCACAACAGTTTTTTTGACAAACACACTGCCACCGCCACCCCGGAACTGAATGGAGTGCTTGGAGGCATAACAGAGGGCCCTTGGGGGGTGGTCCGGCGATGGCGAGGTTTTGCCCCCTCCTCTTCCTGCCTAGAGGATCAGGACGATCTTGGGCTGGGGTCCTTGGCGCTTCAGAAACGGGTAGCATCTGGCCGAGCGGGAGCGCTGTTGGGGCTCAGGATTCTGAGTAGGCTGAGCGGGCGGTGGTGCAGGTTTCACTGCCTGCTGAGTCGGTGCAGGTCTGGGGCGACTGGAGGCGGTTGCAGAGCTGGAGTGCTTAGGCAAGAAGTGTCGCATTGCCTGGGACGACTTCTGTGGCCTGTGCTGTGGCTTTTGTAGCTAGCAGGGCCAGGTCTGTTGCACTGCACAGCTCTTTGAAAGCTGCGGGGTCAGGTCCGGACTCGTCCATAGCTTGGAGGAGTTTGGCCTAAAAGACCTGGAGCACGGCCATGGAGTGCAGAGCTGAGGTCGCCTGCCATGCCGAGGAGTATGCTCGTCCAGCAAAGGCAGACGTCATCCTGCACGGCTTGGAGGGGTGAGCAACCTTCGCCTTCCATCCAATGGCAGTGGGCGGGCAGAGGTGCGCGGCCACGGACTCGTCCAAAGGAGGCAACTTATCGTAGCCCTTCTCTTCAGTGCCATCAACTGAGGAGAGTGCAGATGAAGCAGACGTACGAAGGCGAGCAGAGTAGGGAGCTCGCCACGATTTCATAAGCTCGTCGTGACCTTTGGGGGAAAAAGGCGAGGCTCGCTGACGAGGGGCTTGACGGTGCCCTTGCAGGAACCATTCGTCCAGACGGCTACGAGTGGGCTCCTTCGGGATAGACCACTCCAATCCCAGCTCCTCCACCGCTTTAGAGAGGACATGGAAAAGTTCGACATCCATCCCTGATTTGGTGTCGCTGGGATCCGCAGATGGCAAAGGGGCGGGGTCGATAGTCGAGCCCGACATCTCCTCTGTGTCTGACGCTGTTAGAGACATGCTGTCCTCTAACAGCTCGTCCTCAATTCCACCAAATGAAACCATGTCACTCGCGTCAACCGAGGGAAGCTGGTCTGGGTGTTCAAAGAGGACGGGAGAGTCATCTCTGCATTGAGAAGGCGAGGCACGCAGGGTCTGAGCTGGCGTGTGCTCGCTCACAGCCAAGTGCTGAACCAGTCTGCCCCACTATTTTTTACGCACAGGTCCCTGGGAGAAAGAAAATGGGAGGGCACGAGGGGCAGAGTCACTCTCTGAAAAGAAAGCGAGACTCATGTTCACGCAGTGCGAACATTCCATTTCACTTCCGCGTGGGGCTCTCCCCACTGATGACTGGCCATCATCATGGTGCAGCAAAGTCCTGCATGAGCTGCAATGACGGCTTTAGGTAAGCCGGATGGCAGCAGGGGACGAGTTGGAATCTGCGCCGGATGCTGAGGGCGGCTCGGAGAGCAGGTGGGAACAGCAGAGAGGCGCAGGTGAGTCAGCTCTTTGTCCGCAGCGAGGTGTGTCAACGGCGAGCGGCTTTACAGTCCTTAGATCAGCGAAAAGAAGATCGTCGTCACTGAAGGAGAATAGATCTGAGATCCAATGGCTTAATGCCCGCTTATATAGCCCGATGGCCCCGCCCATTCTGGCGGGGTTCGTCGCCATTGGTTCATTTTTGAATTACTGCATGAACCAATGGCCGTGCAGTTACATTGCGTGATTGAAAAGGATTCAGTCATCGGAGAAAAAGGAGTTTTTCCCCATAGTGTCTAGTGATGCAGTATGAGTGAAAGTATTGATAGGAAACTAGTAACTTTTTACCAGAACAAGAATAGCAATGTACAGTGAAAGATTTGCAATATTTACTAGTCATTACTTTTATAAATAATTCAACCGCATTTAAAGAAATATTTTAAAAAGAATATTCAGATATTTTTCTATTAATCTATTAGTCTGCATTGCTTGAACATCTATTTTGAGAAATTATATTTTTCTCCCATTCGAAAATGAATCCCACATATATGAGGGAGTTATATCTCTCCTGAAACTTTGTTGCTTGTATAGGGTTTATGGCCGTTAGCAGCATGAAAAACAAAACTCTTATTCAAGTTCTGAACAGATTATAACCTACTTAGCCTAGAAAGTGTGCAAATAGCCCTTGCTTTATAATCACTAAAAAGGTGCCACTTTACTTCAGTTCATCGCAATCTCACAAAGTTCCTTTATAATCAATGAACCTCTTATTTACATAGTGTTAGATTGAAATTATTCGCAACTCGCAAGTGTGAAGGAAAAAAAATCCGGCATTTATAGGTGAATGAACGCAATGTCCAATTACAGGTGTTCAAGAAATCAACAGATATGTCTGTCAGTGGCTACATTGCTCAGCACAACGAAAACATGTTGTAAATAGAATCCTTTGACGCTTTCCAGAGTGCAAACACAAATGCATACAGGAGCCTTTACCAAATCTGTTTTGCCAATATCCTATTATTACAGTTTTAACTGAGGGTGAGCATGTGAGAAGTGTCAATTGCATGAGTCTCATGCTGAATGTGTGAGAGTTGGCAGCCCTGATTACACCTCCATATGTTTCGCTTTCCGGACGTAACAAGCTTTGCCCGGTAGCTCATCCAGCATGGAATTGGACTTGCATGGATGCGGAATACTTGGGTCCAAATCCCATGAAAAACATGACTCACAATGAAAGAGCTGAAAGATGAGAGATCTAAAAACAAGCTAAAACAGCATTCAGCATTAATCTCTTTTACGTCACATTTGCTTTTGTTCATACTATTAGTAGGTTTAGGTGTAGTGCAGATGGTACATTATTTTAAAACGTCATAGAACATTAGACTTATAGCGCCACTCGACGGACATTTCAACTCAGAACTGCTATAACACCTAAAAAATCAACGTCACATAAAATGTACCATATGTACGTTCATCTGTTACGGGGGGAAAAAATTAACACTCTTTTAGCGCCACTCAGTTGACATTTCACATCAAATATGTCACAAAACGTACATGGAGGTAAGGATATCGCATCTTTGCATGGATGCGGAATACTTGGGTCCAAATCCCATGAAAAACATGACTCACAATGAAAGAGCTGAAAGATGAGAGATCTAAAAACAAGCTAAAACAGCATTCAGCATTAATCTCTTTTACGTCACATTTGCTTTTGTTCATACTATTAGTAGGTTTAGGTGTAGTGCAGATGGTACATTATTTTAAAACGTCATAGAACATTAGACTTATAGCGCCACTCGACGGACATTTCAACTCAGAACTGCTATAACACCTAAAAAATCAACGTCACATAAAATGTACCATATGTACGTTCATCTGTTACGGGGGGAAAAAATGAACACTCTTTTAGCGCCACTCAGTTGACATTTCACATCAAATATGTCACAAAACGTACATTGAGGTAAGGATATCGCATCTTGCGAAAATTTTCCCACAGGTATGTTTTCATCATGAGATCAGGTTGGCTATGAGCTCACAAAAACAATAATACCTATCAGGCACAAAATCATAAAAGCTGCTGTGATCAGAAAATAAAACTGATACCTGTGTGTGGAGCTCTCCTGTCTGAAGTCGCTGTTCAAAGGACTCTTTGAGGAAAAAATAACATAAGATGTAATTATATAAACACTTACGAAAACTCACACACTGATACTTAAATGACTAACACAATAAAGCTTCTGCATATATGTATACCCGCGATACTTTGCTGTCCTCAAATCGACGCCAGATTTCATCTTCGCATTTGATGTCTGCATTATAACGTCCGACACCTTGAAGTCTTTTACTGTAGTTTACTACTGCATAGAGCTCATATTCATGGCAGAAAGCCTGTAACTCAAGGAGGAATTATGTTCATTATGTTAGTTATATATTTGTTATATTATACAATAGTAAATTATTTTCTCTTCATCCTAAAGCTGACCAATCAGACCTTCTGTGCTCCTTTTTCATTTGCATCATATTTAAAAATAGATGGATTGAAAATAGTAGCAACAATTACAGTATTCGACTTCAGCAGGAAACGGAAATTTAATGAATTGGAAATGAGCCTAAATTCACAAATAAGGCTATGATCACAAAAAGTCTAAAGCAGTTGTGATGTGTTGAGCATTAAACCAAATCACTGCAATAGACCCACAGCTAGCACATTATTTCAGTACCTTGATATAAGGATGGATGATCACATGCAGGTCATTTTTACTGTAGCTCGACCCAAATCTGCTGTTTGTCGTCTCAGATCTCTTCAACACAACGATCAGGTATTTTGGAAACTTGGTCATTTCACTTTTCTGTGGATAAAAATAATAATATATTAGTGAATTAATTGTGCTGCACAAGATACGTTCAGCATTTGAGGCAAATATCACAGCGAATGATTACTTGATTTTGCATATTTCAAGGATGTTTGACATACATTCCCATGAAATGTATCAAAGTGATTAATTCTCTGTTAAATTAGGGTCATAATTCCACTTGATCTGACTTGAAGATCTAATGGATAAACTAGAAAAGATACTTACAATTTCAATGCCTGTCTTTTTTCCACAGTGAACACTCTGATACTCTCCAAACATTTGATCAATACATGCCTGTAAAGGGTAATCCATCATTTGCAATGAAGAAAACAATGGTAAATGGAAGAAACATTTCAGAATAAAAGATGTTTTTAGTGAGTGTTTCTGGTATCTATGTAGAGAAATCATTCTGAGAGATCAATTCAGATGAGCAAAGATCTGCTTACCCCATCCTGAGAGTTTCCAAAAGAGACCGTCCATAAGAGAAAATCCTCTAAGGTTTCTTGTGTATTGTCTTTGCTTGAACTGCATGTTTTTGTGGTCTTCATAGTGCCCTTAAAAATCTACAAAGGTGTCAATAAAACAGACTTTACAGATGATCCACAGGTATAACTGTGCTTTCATTGTTAAAATAATAATTTTCTGCAGTTCAGCCTCTGTCACATTAGACTGCTCATAAACCTTTAATTGCGTCACATGCCAACAAATGAGTCAAGGATCCATGTGAAGAAGGTTTGTAAAAACAATGATGAAAGACATGTGAAGATGTCAGTGAAAGCCAGCAAAACCAAATATGTGCCTACAACATCTCTGAAAACCAGTTGAAATTTCGCTGGAGAAACACTAACAGAGCTGAACTGCTGTGAGATAATAGATAGTCCTTATGAAAGTCATTGAACACAGAGTCAAAAGATGACAGAATAATCCAGAAGAAACTAGTTACCTCAGAAGATCCAGGAGTCTTTTTTAGGATCAAATGTAGAAGTTCTGCTGCATCTCGTTTATGAGCTTTGGGTTTGATGGAGAGAAAACAAATAACAATCAAACATTTACTGAATAACTTTCATTAACAAGAATATTGACTGACATCTAGAAATAGCATTAAAAGAGACCAACCGTCTCTAATGCCGAGGCTCTTTGTGATGCCAGTTGTTGAGACTGCTTTTTCCTGTTGCATTTCTAATTTATTGAACAATGTATTCAACTCTTCAGCCAACTTTCCATCAGATGAAACACCATCTCTGTTCAATCTACAGAAGACATTGAGTGTTTATTGATCAGCTGCTGGTCATGTTGTTGTCACTGCAGGCAGTGAAAGACGTTTCTTTACCTCGTGACATGTTGCCTGAATTCTTTCGTCATGAAGAGCGTCTGAAGAACTGCATTCAAGCAGCAGGTGGATCCTTGATTCTCCAGCCCGCGGTATCCTTAAATGAGAAACACACTGTTAACACTGGACTGACATCAATCTAGCTGAACAGAGAAACTTCCAGAAACACATCCAGCAGATCTTAAAAGAGTAATAATTTAGAAACTACTGTAACTCAGCAGATCAAAGCCAATGTTGACTAGCTTAAAAGACTAAACGCCTTTTGATTCAACCAGTATGTATTAGCTTTAAGAGCAATAAGATGATCAACCGTGTGTGTTCATAATGTCCATCTTCAGAAAACAATCTAAATCTGAATGGTTGAGTGAACTGTGGTGAACAAAATCACAGAATATCAAGCTGATTGTCCCAGAAAACAAACTGGATCATTGTGACAAACACAGAGAGTAACGTGAGGCATCAGTTCTTTCTGAAGCGGGAGCTTTACGTCTCCACAGGGTTTCAGGGAGAGAGGAACTGTTTTCGTTCAAATCATGATTCATGTGCTTTATGGATGAAGGATGTTCAGATCACACGAAGCATTTGTGTCTTACTTCTTTTATTGTCTGATGAGTCGATGTTCATTGTGTTCATTGAGTGACTCTGGGAATGATCCTCTCTGGGTTTCTGTGTCTTCTCCATCTATAATATATTTTAGAAAAACTTGATCAAAACCAAAGAACTGTCTGTTCACATTTCTATCAGTTTACTCATACAGCACCACAGTATCTGACTAAATGACAGTCTCAACAAAGACTGTTAATTGAACATCTGTAAAATCTACAACTGCATTAGAGTCTGTCTCCACAGAACGAACACTGTATACTAGCAGTAGAACAGAATATCATTATTAAATAACAGCTATAACAGTAATAGTACTGGAATGTCAAACACCAATTATCTGTCATAAAACAAGCACATGAGTCTCAAACGATGTGTGTTTAAAATGAAACCCATAATAAAACATGCACAACCTTTCCAGCAGCATCTCGTTGTTGTTGGGTCACTTCACTGGCCATTATTGATTGCTGCTGTTCATTTCTGTGGAAGAAAATAAAACACGCTTTTTAATGTGCAGTTGATTAATGACACTAACATATCAGAAGAGTGTTTGTATATGCTGGAGAGGCTTTTCTCACATCCAGCCCAGACTTGCAGTCACAAATCTGAAAGAGTTGACGTGTGTCACGTTACCTTTATAAACGCTATTTAAAGATTCTCATCCTGACATGAAATATTACATTCTCAAGCTTTCTAGCTGAAAATATACATGAATTCTGTCGATACATGAGCAGGGCTGCAATGATCCCACACACATTGTTGTGGCCTAATGGTTAGAGTCAGACTTGTAACCCGAAGGTCACGGGTTCGAGTCTCAGTACCGTCAGGAGTCCATTCTCATTACCCACAACTGAGGAGCCCTTGAGCAAGGGACCAAACCCCCAACTGCTCTGGGTGTGTGTGTGTGTGTGTGTGTGTGTGTGTTCTAGCTGAAAATATACATGAATTCTGTCGATACATGAGCAGGGCTGCAATGATCCCACACACATTGTTGTGGCCTAATGGTTAGAGTCAGACTTGTAACCCGAAGGTCACGGGTTCGAGTCTCAGTACCGTCAGGAGTCCATTCTCATTACCCACAACTGAGGAGCCCTTGAGCAAGGGACCAAACCCCCAACTGCTCTGGGTGTGTGTGTGTGTGTGTGTGTGTGTGTGTGTGTGTGTGTGTTCAGTACTCACTTTTGTGTGTGTGCACTTAGATGAGTGAAATGCAGAGAACAAATTCTGAGTATGGGATGCCACATGTCACTTCACTCTCTCACTCACTCAATCACTCTCTCACTCTCTCACTCACATATATATACAACTCTGAACCTTTACAACAGTGCTGTGCTGATTACATCTGATTAAAATAATCTGAACTGAAAACTGAAGCCCGTTTGTTTCAGTTCTAATGACACAAACCACAGAATCCAACAGAATAATGTACATAATTGACAGAATCATATTCATTACCTCTGATCTTCTCCAGTGTCTCCAGCTGCTTTAAGACAAAAAGCACAAACTCTGGTTAATTCTGCTCTCATAATGAGGGTCAGTGTGTGAAACTCAGCTAGTAAGTCAAGTGTACATCTTTACCAAGCCATCAATACTGAAATATAACTCTGAGAACTCTGTGTGAATCATACAGGTGCATCTCAATAAATTAGAATGTCGTGGAAAAGTTCATTTATTTCAGTAATTCAACTCAAATTGTGAAACTCGTGTATTAAATACATTCAATGCACACAGACTGAAGTAGTTTAAGTCTTTGGTTCTTTCTGTGTGCATTGAATTTATTTAATACACGAGTTTCACAATTTGAGTTGAATTACTGAAATAAATGAACTTTTCCACGACATTCTAATTCATTGAGATGCATCTGTACTGTAAATGTAAGATGACAAACATTGAACTGTCTGACATTACAAGTCATTCTTTAGAAAAATAAATGCAATTTCCACAACTACAAATACTGCCTATGTTTGCTTGTTAACTGTCATCTCTTAGTTTACTGTCTCCCACGTTTACACAGTAACTTTGAGCACTTCATCTGTCCAGTCATGACAGTGTCCAGTCTAAACTATGAATGAGTTACTGACAGAACAATGCAGATCATCATGCTGTCACTGACTTTCTCTTACTGCTGTAATGAAATCCTGAGATACTCACTTTGCTCTCTGTGTTTGTACATCAGTAAACAGGCCTCTGAACTGCTGTGAAGAAACAGGCACTTTAAGATTCGTTCAGCTATGAACTCACAAAAACTATAACATCTATCAGGCACAAAATCACAAAAGCTGCTGTGATCAGAAAATAAAACTGATACCTGTGTGTTGAGCTCTCCTTTCCGAAGACATCGTTTAAAGAACTCTTTGAGGAAAAAATAACATGGGATGTGAGTAATTATATGAACACATGAAAGATTACATGCACTATACTTCAGTGACACAACAAAGCTTGTGCATATATGTACCTCTGATACATTGCAGTCATCAAATCGACGCCAGATTTCATCTTCACATTTGATGTCTACATTATAACATTTGTCACCATCAAGTCTTTTACTGTAGTTTACTACGGCATAGAGCTCATATTCATGGCAGAAAACCTGCAACAGCAAGAGGGATTGTGTTTATGTTAGTTTTACAGGTCCCCCTTTATATTAAGTGGCCTTAACTACTATGTACTTACATGAAAAAATAAGTACAGTGTACTTATTGTGTTCATATTCTATTGTAAAACACTTCTGCTGCTATTGAGGTGGGAAACAGGTAAGGTTAGGGACAGGTTTGGTGGTATGGGTAGGTTTAAGGGTGGGTTAAGGAGGAAGGGATGGGTCAACAGTGTAATTATAAATGTAATTACAGAAATTAATTACAGATGAAATTGCATGCAGGTATTTTAAAATATAAGTGCAATGAAAAACATGTACGTACACAATAAGTGAATTGTATCAAATGATTAATTAAAATGTAAGTACATAGTAGTTAAGGCCACTTAATATAAAGTGGGACCGTTTTACATTATATAAAACTAAATTATTTTCTCTTCTTCATCCTAAAATCCACCAATCAGATCTTAAGTGCTCTTTTTTTTTCATTTGCATCAAGTTTAATAAAAGCACAGATGGATCGAAAACAGCAGCAACATAAGAATTACAGTCAAGAAATGGAAAGGTAATGATTTGGAAATCTGCTTGAATTTACAAATAAGACTAATAAATAATATTTACAAATGTCTGTGTGTATTTAAAGCTCTTATGATGTGTGTGTCTGTAAAGCATTAAACTGACTCTAAACAGACACTCATCTAGCATATTATTTTAGTACCTTGATATGAGGAGGAATGATCACATGCAGGTAGTGTTTACTGTAGCTCGATGTGCTGTTTGTCACCTCAGATATCAGCTCAACAATCAGGTGTTTTGGGAAGCTGGAAATTTCTCTTTTCTGTTGAGAAAATAATAATAAATGAATTAATTAATTGTGCTGCTTTCTTTCACACAGTATTTTCAACATTTGAGGCAAATGCCACAGTGAACAACTATTAGATTTAGCATATTTCAGGGTTGTTTTTGATTACAATTTTTATGAAAGTCATGTTTTTTGTTCATTTCCAAAGTGACAATTTCTCTGTTGAATGAGGATCTCAATTCAGCACTTGATCTGACCTGAAGATCTAAAACACAAACTAGAAAAGATACTTACGGTTTCCATGTCTCTCATTTTTCCACAGTGAGCACTGTACTGTTGATACTCTCCATACATTTGATCAAAACATGTCTGAATGGGATCTTCCTACATTTAAAAAAAAAAAGTAAATGTAAGAAACAATAAATATGCTCCTCATCAGTTTCGCCTGTATCTGTAGGAATCAGTTCCAATACATAAATACCAAAATAAAAAATAAAAATAAATAGATAAAAAAAAGTCTAAAGCCTCAGCTTTGCAAATTCACATGTCTGAATTCACCAAATGTGAACTTTAATATTCAGCAAATCATGTAATAATTACTTTAGCTAATTCCTTTGTTTATAAATTATTATAATTATAATAATAATAATAATAATAATTAATAAT